CACACACAAAAGTGCTAATAACTGAAACTTATCATACAGTTGACCATAGAGGGACAAGCATTCAGAGCAATTTTGCAGCAATGCAAAAGTGATTTTCCATTTGCAATCTCTACTTAAGGACTATTATCAACTAACCATTTATTTGCAGTCCATAATCATACGATCCGTTCTCTTCAAAGTTTTGAGCACTGGAATCTTGCTGCTTTAAATATTCTGTTAAAACCAGCATTTCCTTATTGATCTACTCTTTCTAAATTGACATTATACAATCTAAAGTACCATATTACTTTATCCATCCAAACCCAGATGAAAATCTTTAGATAATCTACAGTTAGTTCATATATTTATCCTAAGAATTGTCTCTGACCATCATTTATTCACTTGACACCAGTCTCCATATGTCCTTGTTTTGGTGAATAGGGAACTAAAAAGATTAGAATGTAGGTACCACATTTCTCAAAGACCATAGAAGCTATATACATTTAATTATCCCAATGTCTGGTTTATAACTGAATAACCAAAGCAAATTCTTCGGTAACACACACCAGTAAAAACAACGCAGAGTTTTTACACTGTGTTCTGTCTGAAGATGTATGTGATTACAAAAAGAAACGTAAATCACTGAGACTAAACTCTGCAAAAACACCCGAGGGATCTAGCTGCCTGGCTCGCATTCATTTTAATGGAGAACATGCAGTGCTCCAGGACACCTTTGAAAAGGTCTACACAAAATTCAGTTTGTGTTAAATTACATCTTGACTCAATAGACTGGCTGCTGTCTTCATCAGCAAGTAACCATGAAGTGAAATGCAGAAAGTTCAGGGACTAACTTAGAGAACTGCCAGTTACTTAAGCTGTTGATGCCTAGCCTCCTAATCATTGACCTGACTGCAACTAATTTGGAAGCTCTTGTGTATTTTAGTAGTGAATGATTTGGGAGAAATCCTGATTGAACACAGCTGGCAAGCCTCGTACCATTTTGGGTGAAGTGCCTCTTACCAATTTCATCCAGCAGCTCTTGGGCTGGTGGAGGCAGCTCATCAGTGAAGTGGTTAGATGCCTGTGAGAGTGCTGAGATAGAAAAATAGTCTAGTTAATTAGCAGTGATTAATCCTTAATAACTGTGATACAGGCTTACATTATGACATCTTGCTGACATATTTATCAACCTGCAAGAGCCTGGCTCATTCACTTTTTATCCTTAAATAATTTAATAATGAAAAAATCCTTTAGAGCTAGACTTGTACATTCAGTTCTTAATCCTGTATTGCAAGTTTTAGGCCAGTATATTTACACTTCAAATTAGAGGCCAGAGTTCTTAGTCTGCAGGTGCAAACACAAAATCCACCACCTCATTACCACTAGCAATACACAGTTGTGTGCAAAGCTATTCATCCCTATAAAAAGAGATGCCAGAGAGGGAAAAAAGAAGAGGGAGTAAACCTGCACAATTTCTTTTCAAATCTGTTTCTCTGTTTCTTGATCGTTCTATTTGGGCTGCATTAAGACACTTACCAGATGCCTTTCTGGTTCCTCTCAAGCATGAGGCAGCTACTGGTAACTCATCCTGAGGAAGATCATACAGAAGGGAACACAAGGTAAATGGAAGAACTGCTGATCTTCAATCCTCCCCTTCAACATACTAAACCCCAAATGAGGTAAAGCCTTAATTAAAACCTTAGCTGACCATTACAATTTAAAATAAGCTCTTCAATCAGTTCAGAATATGAAAACAGAGGTAGAATCCAGGTAAGACAGATGTGAAAAATCTTGCTTAGGCTGCTGTGCACTCATCTTTTAGCCAGCCATAAGGTACTGTCAGCTGTATATTTATCTGTTTCAACACTCTATATGGACAATTGGATGAGAATTCTCTGAAAGGACAGTTCCAAGATCTCTGAAGTTCCCATTCTCTGCTTTGAATCTTTAACAATTAAAGCCAGGCACACCTATCCACTAGAAGGGCCAACAAAAATCAAGACTTTTTAATCATAGGCAAGTCCTCACTGCCCTCAAAATGCAAAGAGATGCTTCACACACTTAATCCTACAATAAGATTTTAAACAAGAAAGTGACACAATCAAATATCTCTGCAGAGCCTGTCAGGGTAGCACGGCACTGTTAATGGGCTTAATGCATTCCAACTGTCTGCTACACACGCAGAAAGACACAGGCCTAACCTGATGACAATGAATGCAATTGCTACTGTTCTGGTTGAACAAACTCCAACTTAATCTTTAAATGGTAACTCCATCAATGGATAACAGTAAGAAAAGCAAAAAGGCAACTATTTTAACATATAACTGTCTGAAAAGACAGTTAAGATAATGCTGTGGCTCCAGGACACCTTCAGTTCCAAAAAGATTACTGGAAATCACTACAGTGACCTTGGAAATTGTCAACTCCAAAGAAAGAGGATTTTTTGATACCGAAAAGTTGATAACATTATGCCACATCCGTGCAGAAGGAAGACAAACTTAATCCCCTAATACAAGGGCTTTCTGAACATTTACTTGCTTCCGAACTACTAGATGGAGGCTTCCACTTCACTCTTCATCCTCAAAGAATCACTCATTTACTTACTGCCCCACCAAGTTCTATGAATGTGACAAACATACATACTTAAGCACATATGCACACGTATTTATTTTCATTCACGTTTATTCCCCACTTCCACATAGTCAAAAGCCTGTCGTTAACAAATCACTTGTGAATTGAGTGGTTCAGATAAGCAGCCTGCTGTTGCATCACCAGAAGACCAACTGATCAACCCCTCCACCCGCCCCAACAAAAACGTACCTTTTCTACCAAACCATTTTGCAGATACTTACCACTTCAGTGTCCCAGGATTACCACATTCAGAGCTGGGAAATTCTTTACAGCCAGCAAAGGGGTGGAGGGCAGACAAAGTCACTTTGATGGTGGTTAACATTTACATAAAATAAGGTGCAAGGGGAAGCCAGCTCTGTGTGGCACACACTGACTGCTTTGAAATCAATCAGAACTTCTGTCATGTCTACAGACTCAGGATTCCAAAACACCCACAAAGACCTAGAAATACTCCTGTGCTGCTTATCTTGCATTTGTTTTATGGAAAAATAGTTTTTAAAAGGAGTTTTAAACGGCTGGCATAAGGCTGATTTTTTTTCTAGACTTACAGGCTGATTCAGTGCAGATGAGCAAACTCCTGAAGCAACTGAAGGAATTTCAGTGCTCCTTCCCTCTCTAAGGGCTGTAGAGATCTCTTGAGAACCGCAAAAGGAAGAATCTGAAGCTACTTCATGGCAGTGTTTGTATTTTTCAGTGGCTATCGGATTTTTTTCTTCTAGAATTAAAATAAGAAAAGATGATAACAGAGCTGGAAAGTTCTTTTTTGTTTTGGGTTTGTTTTTTGTTTTTTTTTTTTTGCATCTTCATCACATTTCAACAGAAGCAGAAAAAGGTGGCTTCTACTTGAACAGGCACCTGCACAGGAAACTCTGAGTAATTATTGCCCATAAATAATCTCTAAACAGAAGTCCAAACTGACTACCTAGGACTTCCACTTCAGACTGTTTATGCAAAAATCTGCTAACTGAAAAATTTCTACTACTGTATTACACCAAATTAATGCAAGTACAAAGCAAATGATGATTCATTGCTTGTAAACACTACAAATTCAACAAACACTGAGATCACTTTATCAACACTTAAAACATACTAAGTGCTTATTACATTGTCTGTCTTTAGAATGCTAAAATGTACAGGTATCACTTCAAATCAATTTCTAGATGAACAATTTCTTATTTATGAAGGCTACCATTATCTTCCAAGTAATCATCTTTCAGAGGCCTTTCAGATAGTGGCCTTTTTAGCTGTGTTCCCATAAATTCCCCTTTAGTTCAGTGTTTTTTATTTCTTTTGAACAAACAGGCTGCAACTACAAAGCTGTAGCTATCCAGACCAAAACAATGAGATTTCAAGCCACAAGTACAGCAATACTTGTGCTTATTTATTCCAAGCCTGACATTTCTGCGTTGGTAGGAGTTTCCATGATTCACATCAAGGATTTTTACATTAGCAAGTCTTGGCAGAAAGGTCTGACTCCTAGCATAGAAAGCTTAAGTAATTCACTGATCCTTCCTTCTTTCCCCTGTAGTTACCTGAGCTGAGTGGAGTGCTGAAGCTCCTTGGTGCATGACTCACTCTGGGAGTTTTACAGTCTACATCCCTGTAGCAGCTCTCTTGCTCATAGGGGATATTCGACAAATTGTGAATATCTGTCACTGATCTGAAGTATTGAAAGATGTTCTGACAGTCAGAATAGCTGCTTTTACACTTAGGAACCACTAATTGTGCTATTTTCAGGTTCTTTAGATTTTATTTTTGCTCAGCACTATCTAGTTTGCCAGAAGGAAGAGAGACATTCCCTCTGAAAACTTCCCACATAATTCCTGGAAGGCCATAGATCACCAGCTTCAATAATCTTGCAGAGACAGAAAATATTATATTATTTGCTTTCCCATCCTTTGTAGGAAGCACGCTCAGGAAACTGTCTCTAGAAAAGGCAAGAACTTCAGATGTGAGCCACTGGGCAGAAAACTCTTTCTAAAGCCAAGGGAAGACCTCAAGGCTTAACAAAAAATAATAATCCATTAAGACTAAATGTAGGTCTTAGAAGCCTTTACAGAAGAATTACTCGGATAAACTGAAACTGCTGAAGACCTGCACAGTGATGTCCGCCCAAGTTATAACAATTCTTCAGTGGCTGCAGGACTGGGATTATATTAAGTAAACTAACATCTTCTGCAGATATACCCTGGATTACACTGTCCTCAGAAAACCATGAAATGAACAAATGTCTACTCCCACCAAATCAGTAATTTCTATGCAAATCCGCATTATCTGTAAAAAGAAATTATCTTTACTAGTTAAGTCACAAACTGCAATTTTTTCCTGAGAATCTCAATCATGACTCTCTTGAGTAATAAAATTTATTTAGCTACAGACTAAAAATTTGCTCTTTTTAGTAATTTTACTACTTGTTATACAGATATTATTTCAAACTAAGGACAACCGGATGTGATAGCTCTTTTATACCAATCTCCCAGCTTATCACGTGAATATATTCTTTCAATACTTCAGAACACTTTCTCTCAGCTTTGGTCTGTTTCATCTTCCTGTTTGCACCAACACAAAAAATTTTATAGTGATAATGACCAACTTGCTGAAGTTTTGATAGAAAATGGTCTCTGGCTCTTACACATCTTTTTCTTGGCATTCTGCCTGTGTTATTTCTTGTGCTGTTTCAACACTGTAATGAAGGAAGAAAGGCCACATTCAGTGATCATGTCAGAGAATTATGAAAATAAATGTATTTAGTTCTCTAGCTTGAAAAGTTGAGAGGACTACCTACTCTCTGAAGTAGACTGCAGCTCATAAAAATATTTTGCTTAAAACCTTAGAAGATGGAGAGTGCTACAAGAAAAATGTCATTTTAAGCACATTAAGGACAAAATTTTAATTGATATACGCAGTATCAAAACAAAACAGAAAGTTAAATAAAAATCTATGACTATACATGACTACATTGTTTCATCATCCTTTGATTGGTCTGCACTGCAAACTATTCTCTCAAACTGTAACAAGCCCTTTCAAGGTCAAAGAGGCATTCAAATGGGATTAGTCAGAAGGCCAGAAAGCAACCATCCTCTGTCCTGCTTTCAAAAGCTCAATTCCTAAGTGAAGGGAGCAACCAAAACCATTACCATTTACCTTAAGGCCAAGTATTTACACATTTGCTGCCTACCTTTGACACGGATAACTCAGTTCCTCCAGTAGAGGGGAGAGAGCACAACACTGACAAGACAGTAAAAGCAGCTGTCACTTCCACACTTGGAATAAGTGAGCAGCAGCTAACTCTGGAGGAACACAGCTCAGCTACAGTGAGGCTAGGAGTTTTGACGAAGCCCAAAAGCCACTGCTGAAAGCCCTTCAGGGCGAGAACTTTTTCGCTTTAAGCAAAAGTACCCCTTGCAGCACGAGGTAGTGATTCTGGCCAACATCTCTGCATACTAATAGAATACAAACTGCACAAAAATACTGGATATAAACACCTCATGTTTGACAGATGAGACCGCAAGTTTCCGAGCGTGGGCTAATGTTATCTGCAGGCAAGATACAGCAAGCATACTTGCTTCGGATTGTTCCCACAGGAGAGGAAAAGGTATGATCTTCATGCCACTTGAGCTCCAAATCCAAAGCACAACAAAATTAAAACAGATGACTGAAACCTTAATTTGAATTACCTTTGCTCTAAGACAGTAGCTTACCAGCGTAAAAGGAATTGCAATATACACATGACTTCTTTTTCCTATTTTAGCTTCCTCATTAAGCAAACCATAACTGAATACTGTAAAAGTCAAAGCCCCATGAGATCTGTGAAAGGCCTTTTAGTATTTTCTTAACAAGGAACTATGATACGTAGGTAATAATTAGAAAGCACCATTGGCATCTTATTTGAATATTAGATACATAATATTATAGATATATAATTAGATATATAAGCAGAATTAATAAAGATAGCACACTTTACAACCTAATTTACACTTGGAGTAACAAAGTATGTCTATCTACCTGCTTACAGGCATACGACTAAGTTGATTCACTCCTAGCGTATGACTGCCGAAGTTCTGCGCCGCTGTGCTGCAGAGTAGTGTTTTTCCTCCTGAATACAAATGACAAATGTTCCCTGTTATTGGGTTTTGCAAGTACAAAAGAAAGCGATAACTCATTGAACAGGAAATTGCAACTTTATTAGATTTTTTTCGTTCTTATGACCTTTGTTGTTGTCAAGAGACAAATGTGTTTTAAAGATGCATTTTCATAAACATACCACAGCTGCCAGACAGTCAACCACTGAAGCACTGGGGAATATCACAACATTCACAAATTTGACTTAAGAGAGGCAACAGACTACAGAAACAACGATCATCCTTCCATTATTCTGCATACACACAATGTCAGCTTTTACAATTAAGCTCAAGTTCCTTCTAGGAATAAGAATATTAATGTGTCGATACAACTCTAGTTCAGTTTCCAGCACCATGGCAAGTTGCATTAAAAGATTCAACATAGCCCTAGGGTAAAAAGAAAAGGGTTGCAAACAAGTTCTGTTTTTTTAACTGAAACACAGCAAGTACATAATCTTCACACTTGACAATATTTCAGTGACTGCAATGCCCAAACCTCATCTTCCAAAATTTTGAGTGTCCTGAACTCTCACTAAAATCATGAGAAATAAGAGATCAAGCAACCCTGTGGAATCAAGCTCCAGCCTTCTAACAGGAGCACTGTTGACAAAAAAAACTAATGTAAGTGCAACAAGACTCTGTCTCCCTAACTCTAAAGTACCTTTAAAACAAAAAGCACATTTACCTGAAACTGGAATTCCTGATCCTGCATCTTCAGGTAACTGTTTCTGCAAAAATCTGCCACAAGCATCTTCTAATTTGCCCTCAGCATCTGAAGTCTAAAGTGGGGGGAAAAAGGAAGCGAATTCAATTTCTCACAGGCAAGCTGTAAAGGGTAGGACAACTCTCACAGGATGATGTTTACAATAATCAGAATTGGAAAGACAAACTTCTCAGAGGTTTATCAGCAAACAGCATGGATTGGATTAACCAGCCCATACAATGGGTTTGGAGTCTTCAAGAAATGAATGAACATTGTTTGAAGACTATTGAGTATTGCAATTGTTAGACCTGTGAAATAGGTCTCAGAGACAGATTATCAACTGCCTAAAACTTTTCTCATCCGCAGGTTATGTAACTGCCTTGTAAATAAATTAAGAAAACATGTCCCTGGTGTTTTGGGAGTCTGGGTGTTTGTGGGGTTTTACTTGTTTGGTTTGGGGTTGCTTTGTTGTTTTTTTTTTGGTTAGTTATTTCTTTTGTTTGGTTTGGGTTTTTTTTTGGGGAGGGTGTTTGAAGGAACAGGATTAGAATTTTCTTTAAAATAAATCTTTATTTATAGATATGTCAAAAGAAAAGAATAAAAACTATCTTTTTCCCATTTTCTACAGCTTTTCTTCAAATCAAAAGGGAGCATAATAAAACTACATGATGTATTACACATGTCCAAAGTTCTTGCCACAGACTTCATTCCTGTCTTTTCAGTTATTTTTATCTCTAGTTCTGAACTTACCTGAGCAGTAGAAGGAAGGAAATAATCAGGAGTGAAGAATTCTTCAGACACATCAGAACATGAATTAAAGGAACTAGGTAATTCCCTTGAATGTCCCTGTGAAAGACATCATCATTAGAGATGCTTTCTCCACTATTAAAAAACCATACATTTTAGTCAATAATGATAAACAATACTGCATCAAATCGAAATTGTATTTAATTTGATCACTCTGAGCCTCAACTTACCTCCTGCTCCTTACATCACCTTCATGGTTTATAGAACCAAACAAAAAAAGGGGAGAGGAGGGAAGACTGTAAGTCAGATCATAACTGTAAAGATCAGGTTATGGTAGTTCACTGTGCAACATGGAGAGACCAGGCTAAACTGTTTTACAGATAACTATCTGTGACTAGATTTCCTGCATTGCTATACATACTCTAGAGACATTCTCAACTTGTTGAGGAAGGACTGAATTCTTAAGAATGGTTATTCCAGTCTCTGCTTTTTCATCTTGTGATGGCGACTGGGAACTTCTCCCTAGGATGTCAGAATGGAACAAAATTATTAGGCAAAAAATAACATGAAGTGAGTGGTCTGAACCACTGATGGAATACCAATGAGAGCAGACAGTAAAACTACATTGTCTGCCAGGAACATGGTGAAATAATGACATGTAAATGCTTACATCGTTAATCTAGGCATGAGAAGCTTTCCTTGTTCCTTTATCTGTAACTATTACAAAAGTACTATCCATTATGCTGCTACAGAAAAAGCATCTCAGTATTCTAACTGACAGAGATAAAGTGTGAGAGCATACTCGTGGATTTGAAAGCTTTAGGTCCCTCAGCTCACTGGACATTACCTCCGCCTGTTAACATGTAATACCCATCTTATCTATGTTCACCAGTGACTGACTGACTGGCCTGGTTTGGGGCAAGATTCTGGAAGACAAAACTGACAATTAGTGTAACAAAATCACAGAAGCTGACATCTGCTGGGAGATGGAGAGAGACAAATAGAAAAGAAAATATTTTTCATTTTTCAACCCTACCTCCAGAACTTCTGAATGCAGACTCCAGATCACTCTCCTCTGACTCAGATCTATTCTCACTGACCAAATCTTGAGGCTCAACATTATCACCTGACTGCCACCTATATCTTTGCTGGTCTTGACTTTTCTGGACTCTAACAGTGACGTGTTGAAAGGCCTCATTTATACTCTCTGCTTCACTTTCAGATGTACATTCATTGGTTGGATATGGAGAGTAAAGCTCTAGCCTTCCTGAGGCTGCTCTTCTGGCCATTTGCTTTACTTCAGCTACAGAACAACGACAAAATTGCCAGTTTACACAACAGAATCTGGACCCTCAAAGCATTCCCTGTGTTTCATTGTGTCTGCAGACTTGGAAATGCTAAAGTTATAGCCTGTAAAGTCCTTCATGAGGAAGAGAGCTAAAAACTTCTTTCCATTTTAAAGAAAGCTTAAAACCTGCTTAAATTGTTATGGGTAAGTCTTTACATGAACAATTTTTGTTAGTTTCCATTCTCTATTATTCATGCCTGTACTGCCATCCACTGGTCATGGTTATATTACCCAGTCTAAATTCATACACTGTCCCTCCCTCACATCCTACAAAACAGAGCTAGAAATTCCTTGTGCTTTATAATCAAACAGTCTTAATGTGGCTGTGATTATTTTATGCCCTTAATGCACAAGACACAGTATTCTACTCGTCTGGTTTTCATCCAAGCACAGCCTAGTAGAGCTTCAGCAATTAAGGCAGACAGACCTTTCTGAAGTAACAAAATGTTAAGTTATAATACACTGCAGCAAGACTTGCTAACATTAATGCCAAGCTAACACTGATTTACTTACTCCTCCATTCTGATTGCATCATCCTCTCCTCGCTTATTTTTGTGCTGTAAATTTCAGCTCTTGATTTTGGATAGGACCTGTAATAATAAATCATTACGAAATGCATCAAACTCTGTTAATGCACAAGCATACTGTGTTATTATTCCCCAGTTAGTAAAAGACTAGAAGTTGGTTTAATGTTAATTAAAAGGCTGAGAGCACACATGTTCTAAGAACCCAGCAGAACTAGCAGATTGAGCCATCAGAAGCTTAGGAAGCACAGCCAGTTATTTAGATCTATTATAGGTTAACAAGACAACCTGCACATTAAAATCTAGATTTCAAAAGCTGTCCATGGCCTTCAGATGATATATCTATATAAACACTAACAGACAGTGAATGCTATGTAGACGTGTTTTATTCAGGTCAGTACGGTGATCAGGGGACAACTGAAGATACTCAGAACTTCAGACTTGTATATCAACAACCCTAACACCAACTTGATCCCAATCAAGAGTTCATTCACTTCAGCTAACCACATATCTGGAATATTTATGTTCTAATCAAGTATATCCTTCACCAGCGGGTCTTACTGATCCAACTGGGTCATGAATCAACTTTCAGTTTCCCAACTGATTTGACCCAAACGTCGAAGGAGGTGCCTGTCCCCAGCTTCCCAACTAGTAAGATTCATTAATTTGCACAACTTTTGCCAGGTATTTTTAACATGTACTTTCCACCCCATATGTAGAAATACAAAGGGACAACATTAAAAAGCACAGCAAACAGAATGACGTAATGCACGCTCTGTTGTCACTGGGTTTAACAAGACTGTTTTACTCCTACAGCCCCTAACACGGGTCCTAGTCCTACAGCTATGAAAGCCAAAGCATTGAACGAGACTGTGCAGAGAAAGGAGAACCACCCTTCCTAGTAACTTACTAGATTGCTCTCCTTTGGCACTGTTGCTGTTTTGGACCGCTGACCTCCATCAAGAGAGGCATATGGAATCTCTGAACACCACTCTTTGACTGATATGCTGCAGCAGTCACCCTGTCAGCTCTGCAGCTGACAGTGACTCACAGTAGGGTCCTAATTGGACAGATGTATTTGCCTTACTGAAAACACATTCAATGCCATCCTTGATCCTGGATGTCTCTACTTTGGACAGTGACTGTAACAAGATAAATCTGCTAGAATTAACTTTCCTGTGAATACAATCAAAACTCACCACCTCTCTTCTTCAATTCCACTTGCTGCAGAACGTGAATCGCCTCCTCTCTGACACTGCAAATTGGACTTTGTTTTGCTTCTTACAGACAGACATGGGAATAAATTCTGAAATAGGTCCAACAAGCCCTGATTCAGCACATGCCAGACATTCTGGTAATCACTAGCTGAGCTGTCTATGAGATATACTAAGAATTGGGCTGTGCAAACTTTATTCCCTAGGTTATGTTTTAGTAGCACTATTCATGAGAAGGGATAACTCCAGGTCTTAGCCTAGAAAAAAATCCACTCTGGATTTATAGCAGGTTTCATATGTACACGGGCAGGCTATCACGGGGAATGAGTGGACCTAAGTGAGTCAAGATTATTCCCACAGCAGATAAGTACATGTTTTTTTTCTCTTTCTCTTTGGGCTAAGCATAGCAACTACTTATATTTAACAATGAAAATGATCTAGAAGCCCTTATTAATGGCAGCTTATGATCTCCGTAATAAGTATGGAAATAACTGTAGATTAATTATCTCCATAACTAAGTATACAAACAAAAATCTCTGCTTGCCCTTTTCTCCAACAGTACCATCTCCATTTTAGAACAGGATTTTATCCCCTCCTGAGCCACTGGATTAGTATTTTGCTGGGGATGGGGGTGGGAAGAAAGAAGATATAATACTATTGCCCTGCTGACCTGACAATTTTCATTCCTATAATGCATATGGTATGCGCAACAACAGATTCATCCCTCCTCTTTGACACCATCCATAACTATGTCTCTTTATCTGCTAAGGAATAAAGGAGTGATAAACACAATCACCCTACTCAACCCTTTACCTGGTGGTCCAGGCTCACTAGATCATCCTGTTTTTTCACCACAGTGAAGGTGAGATCATGACAGTTGTTTTCATTTTTACTGTTACTCATTTCATGAAAGCACTTCCACTTCTCATTTTGAAGTACCTCCATTGGTTTTGCTGTCTTTGAAACAGCTTGGAAACCACCTCCACCCAATGCTCCTTGGGCCTGACATGTTATCCCTGGTGGAACATAGTTTCTTGATGGTGGACCTACAGCCTTCCATGAAAAAGTATTGACTCCAGAAAAAGGGTTATCAGTGTTTTGGGAAGTATCATCAGATCTGTTCCAGTGTCCTTGAAAATTTTGTTCAGAAAGCTGATTCATTCTGACTTCCTGAAGTAGCTTATTTTGGTTTTTAGTGGTCTCTGATTTGTCCAGTTTCTCCTCCAGTCTGCACAGGGATTCTGCTATCTGCTGCACCATGCTTTGAGATATCTTTACACTAAGGACACATTTGCTGATGTGCTGCTCAGTTCTGGACAGGTTACTCACTAGTCTCCCAGCATCTCTCACCTGTGCCAGGTCAGAAGCCTCATTCGTGCTCTCCTGGGCTTCTGTAGAGTACTCTGTATCCAATTCTGACAAGCTGTCTTCTTCATAAACTGGCTTTTCCTCACAGGGCACTCCAGGGGATGCAGTGAGGTCTTTGAAGGTAGCCTTCTCTTCTTCCTTCTGCTGCCTTTTTTCATCCTTTAGAGCTTGACCTAATCTAGCTCCTTCTTCCAGGAAGTCTTTGTGAGGTTCTGGGAAACTGGCAAAGATTTCATTGATTTCAAAGCTACAGAGGCTATCATCCACATCACTGAGACTCGGGGTCATCTCAAGTTCAGAAGCCACATCCTGATTTTCATCCTGTGCAACTGCATGTAGATTGGTTGATGCCTCTTGGGGCACTAAAGCGCTTTTCTCCTCAGGAAAAGCAGAGTATATTGGGGAAGTAGAGCTGTCTAAAAAATAAGTAAGTAAATTAAAAGGAGAGGGTTTAGATGTTAAGCTATTTCTCCAGATGTCCAAACACAGAGTTTTTGTACAATTAGGAGTTAATGTCTTTTGTAGATTACATGAACAGTGTTTAACACCTCTGCCAAAAACAACATGCCTAAACTTCAAACATTAACCAGTCTTACAGATCTGAGTTTACATTAACAATTAGGGTGGCAGCTAGAACCCAAAGCTAACTGCTTTCTATTTCCAAACTATGTCATAAAATCTGTAAGTGCTCAAATATTAATTATTTATATAAAACCTTTATGGACTGAGGAACATGCTAAGTGAAGAACACAAAACATCTTGCTAAAAGAAACTCACCAGCCTTGGTTATCTCTTTCCCCTGAAATACCTGTGTTTTCTTCTGGCTATTAAAAGCTGACACCAAGCAGATGTTCACATCTGCAAAACCAACAGGTCTCTGGGCTTTTGGCGTTTCATCAGCATTACCAGTTTGAGACTTAAGTAAGTCCTGTAATACAAAAAACAGAAAAAAAGATAACTATATTAGACAGTTCAATGTCTCTACCTTCTCTTTTAAGGTGGTCTGCCTCCATAATCAGAAAAGGATTGTTTGGATTGCCTCCCACCTAGATTTAAGCATAACAACTTGAATCTGAATGGACGCAAAACTCTGCTGTTTTAAATGCATGGAAGACTAGAATCCTGGAGGTCACCTTTAAGTCATTTTTCAGTATATATTGAATATCCTGAAGATTCATGGAGCGGTTCTTCTGTTTAGGTTCCAGCCCCGACTTTACGATATCATAATACGGCACAGGAAGTCTGACATCTGCTTCTAACTGCTGTCCCGAAATTACGAGCTGTTTAATAACTGAGTCTTCACAACCCTTCCAGGGGGAGGTCTCTGCAACACATAAATACAGACTTTATGTCAAAAGCCGTGTATTGGTGTTCATGAAAATAAAGAGAAAAAAGATAAAAAGAATCAGATACTGAAGCATTATTACCTGCACATTCCCTAATTTACAACTACTGCCACACTAATATTTGGGGTTTTGCCTGGAAGGTTCCTTTTCCAGTTAACTCTGTACAAGCCATCACAGGAAGGTTTTATCCAGTCACACAGAGGAATTAAACAGACACTAGGGGCTGACAGTCTGCACTGAAAACATTTGGTGGGTTACCCAAGTGACAAAAGTCTAAACCTATAGATGTACCTGTCAAGGCTTCCTGCAGTACTGCACAGAAGCTATATATATCCGATTTGACCGTGACAACTTTTTCAAGGATTACTTCAGGAGAGCACCACTTATACAGCTGTATTGGGACAGGAATACGTGTCAGATCACTGTGTTCTCCACCATCTTTGCTGTATAAAGGGAAAAAAAGTTGTAAATTGGGATGTACGACACACTCAACTAGAAGGTATATTGGAATTTTGGAATTCAAACACCTGAGTTTGTTTTATCTGCTTTTAGTTTAAATACCTAAAAGGTCCAGAGTGTATCCACATATAAAACATGTAGTATTTTCACATCAATGAAATGTATTCTGGGACACTGCAGCAAAGACTTTCTGGTGAAAGTAACACGTGCTTTAACAAATTTACACTCCAAAAGACATCAGAGAAAGCTGAAAACTTCCCAATAGGACTTTTACAAGCAACCCTTTATCTCTGGCCAGCATTGCCTGACTGCGGACAAAACCTAAGAAGGTACCACTTGGCCTGTCAATATTTATTTTGCAATGTCTAGAAGGTAATTTCCTCCTCATATTTAACTGCGAGGGGGTGGGGTGGGGGTGTTATTCAATTCACAGTAAGATGTATCTGAAATAGCCAAGAAATTGCCAAGATTTATTAATAAATTGAGTTTGCAAAGAGGTTAGGAAGTATCTTTGTTCCTTTCAGGACATTACCATCAGCAAATTTTTGTTTATTATCAATTTTTCTCTTTCTTTACAGTCTAACCAGCCACTTACTTCCTTTCTAATCAGACTGCACTACAAGAAAGACGTAAAAAAAATGTATACAAGTAATAATTTACCACGATGAAATCGTGTCCCTCACAAAAGAAACACTTTTTTTGTCACCAGTGGCTCCTAATTACTACCACTTCAATGAGGTGTGGAATCCTCAACCAATTTAGGTAAATCTCCACGAACGCAAGTTCAGGATAACAAAAGGACACTTAAATTATTTCTAGCCCAGCAGCAGAATTAATAACTCAAAGAGGAACTACATCTCTCGTCTGTAAGATTAAATTCTATTTCTCTATGATGGTATTTTTATACTGCAGTAAAGAGCTGCTTCTCTTACTAGTTTCTATTTTCAGATACTTACAACACAGAAACTAAGTCCCCCTGAGGCTTGCTGTACTGCCTGTGGCAAAGTTCATGTACCCGAGCAGTAATAATTTGGAGTTCTTTACTCCTGTAACTCTGCTGCCTGACCCAGAGGCAGGACTCCCTAGTCATAAAGAGGGGCACTTCAGCACAATTTCATACTAAATTTACTCATGTTTGTTCCTTTCACAGAAACAGTGAGGAAGTTCTTTACCTCTCTATCATGTATTCCAAGTTGCACAGCTTTGCCTCACCAGAAGAAACAATCTGAATAGCATACGAGGTAACTGAACGGTGGATAAATCCACGAGAGTGTAGAAAACGCAAAGCGTCGATAATCTGAAGCAGCACATGCAAAATTATCTCCATGTGCAGCACTGGGAATTCTGTACGCTGGAATAAAACCCAAAAGTACCAAACTAATATTAAAAATAAAACACAAACCAGTTGATTAGAAAAAAGAAAAAAGCACAACTGAGTTCAAGCCTTTGCTTTTATACACAGGCAGTTTGCAATGTATTACACACAGATACTCAAGGGCAAAAGCTGGTTTCGCCACATTTGCACTCCACAATGACATACAGAAGATTAAAAGCTCAGCCATGTTAAGACTGACACCAAACAAGACTATCAGTACAACTGCACCTAAACACTTAGTGAACTATTTGCCAATTACAAATTTTACCAGGTTACAGAGTACCTTGTACTGTGCAGTGAAACAGAAACCTGGCTACACAGGCTGATAATTTTGTCGTCTTGTTCTTTGAGTAAAGATGGCAGATGTAGTCACTAAACTTTTCCCTCTCAATTAACTACTGTTTAAAAAACAAATATTCCAATTACCCTTTCATGAAGGATACTGTACAGAGAACCAAGGTTAACCCTTTCATATACCAAACGGGTTTTCTCCAAGTCACTAGACAGACAAACAGCCATCAACTGTAGCAAATGAGGATGTCTGAGTTTACTGCAAAGAGAAGGGGAAAAAAAGTAAGGCAAATCTGAGATTAAAAAAGTCCTGGCTTTCTAGATGTTTTTAATCAATACAACATGAATGCTTCTAACTTTTCATTGAAATACACTACATTTTAAAAGAATCATAGATTAGAAGGCATTTAGGAAACAATGCTTACTGTCACAATTAGAAGAATCTATAAATAAGCCATCCAAGCAAAGTGCAATAAAGCATTCATCCAGATATATGAGAAGAGAGTATCATCATCCTCTGTATTATTCATTGGGGAGCAAATGGAATGGGAATAGACAGGAGAAGAAAGAGACCTGTATTTCTCATTTGAAGAGCAAGGACAATCACAGCCTGACAGTCCTCCTGAGGTTAATCACATTTCCTCACATTGCTGGAGACACCCAACCCCCAGGAGCACTCATGGCTACTGCACATTCTCTCTTACCTGCTGTGTTCCTGCTCTGCAACAAGAAGATCGGCAAAGCGCAGTTTACTGTAGTTCTGATGGGGCTCTGAGCCAAGTTCCTTCACTGTAACTCTGCTGCCTCCCCACATTAAGCTACAAGGCAAAAAAAAAAGAATTTCTATGAGATGCTTTCTGCAATATTTTTTCCAGTTACAGAATTACTTACAAATAATTCTGAAATGCTCTGGTGCTGCCTCCTTTTGTTAGTAACGTTACTCTGATGACCCCAGTTATGGCATATAGTCTTTCAAACTGACAGTAAATTCTCATACAGTTTAAGATTGGATGTAACAGGTCAGGTTTACTGTCCAAAGATGCTACCCTTCCATGACTCAAGGTCACTCTAAACCTCCCTCCCCTAAAGGCCATCAGGCCACTGTGATACAACCCAGAGCTTTGGGAAGACTAAACCACTGCTTTGTCAGTTCTCTGGATGCCTCTGAGGCACAAGTACTTGCTACACAACACAAAAGATTAAAAACCAAAAAGATTCAGTCTGCACTTTGAACTCTCATGTCACCACAGGTTTGAGCAAGTGGGCTGCAGACATGCACATGGCAAAGGCCCAAGGTCTGACCCAACAATTACAAGGATTCAACACTGAATAACACAGTCTGTGCAAGCCCAGCAACACATTTCCCACCACAAAAGGAATCAGTATTGAAACACTGCTGTCAGTGAATAACCATAATTGAGTTAATATGGCTGGAAAGGACCAGAGCAACGTAGAGATGCTGAGGGAGTCTAAAGAAGGTATTAACCAGTGCACTGCAAAAAACAAGTTGCAAACAGAAAGCAGTGGATGAAGACAGAATAGACCAGGAAAACTCTCCAAACAAAGCATGTGGTACAACCTGCTGCTTAATAGATACAGATAGACACTAAGAAGAGCTAAAATCTCTTTGATTCCACTTACTTTGTCATGATCATGTATGGACCAACACGGTAAGAAAATGCTGCTTCGTCATCTGCCTGAACCAGGTCTTTTTCCCCAATAATAAGGAGAGATGCCAAGTACTCAAGATGCCCACTACCTGCAAAATAAAACTGAAACACCACCAGAGCATAACCAAAGGAACGTGCAACACTTCACAAGATCCATCACATGTGCCACAAGCTCACTAAAAACTCGAGTGCAACCAGTGTAATGGGAGCATCAGCCAAAGCATCAAAATGGAATATTAAAATATCTATGTCAAAAGCCTAACTCTATAGTGAAGCTGAAATAAGGAAAGCAGAAACAGTCGTTAAGAACTCCCACAGGTGACATTTAAAGAGGAGAAGTTTTTTTGCCTGTTCTGAAACAGCTTCCTCTGATACTAATGACTAACAGACTCAGTATTCGCACTCTCCACAGGTTTTTCCCACCATTTCAGTAAAAATAAGAACTCACTAAAAATTTAAAATAACATGGGTGGGGTAATTGTGAAGAGTATATGACTGAAAATCTGTACTAATATCATTAGAAAAACATTACCCAGAGCATGTTACCTTCCCAAATCCAAAGCTGTAAATGTTCCTGGCTGCATTAGCTCCACCTTTTAGAAATCTGCCCAGAGGACTGTCAACATTTCTAAGTATAAAAAAAAAGCAAAAAGAGTAACTAATATGCCAAGTAATTTGTATTGCCAATTGTATTTGAGTAAAATACCAAAAAAAAAAAGAGGGGAGGGGGACAGAAATTCTGCAACAGCCACGTATTTCAAATGAAACGAGAACACGTTCATTTTAACATCACAGAATATGGAAGTAAGAGTCCTTGTAGCTCAATCCCTCAGTACTGTAAAATATATTCTTACCCTTGAACAAGACTACCAAACCGAGATGGATTGTTGACCAAGGCTTTTGAGGAGCTAATCTTCCTGAGTAGATCAGAGGGAAAATTTTGAATAGCAGCCTGCATGTGCGATGTGCAACGCTGTATGAATTTCAGTATCTAGAGAGGAGAGGGAGGGAAAAAAGACATAAAATTACTTCAGAACTGCAAGATAAACCATTTCAAATTAATAGATAGTGACTGCTGAAAAATTAACTGGTTAGTTGCAATATTGTAAATAGGCCTTTCAAGAAACGGACAGACAAAAACTTGAAGAAAATCAATTACATGACAATGTAAGAGAAAGCTTACTTCAGCACTAAATGATTAACTTTCAAGACATCTACCCACTAAAATTTTTAATATCAGGTTTCTTTTTAAGAGGAGTATTGTGAGCTTTAATTCAATATCACACTTTGCAAAACCAACACATTTGCTGACACTGTTCATGCACAGACTCAGATACACTTGAAAACTACTTCAGGTTTACCCCCAAATTGCACATATTTGCCAACAAACTACATATATCAGGGGTCCAAAACAAGAGCCTGTCATTCTCTTCATTGCACACTTATACATAAAGGTCCTAACAAGTTATGGACAGACACGCCCCTGCACCTGAGAAAAACCTTAGTTAAATCTGAATCATGAGAACTTCAAAATACCACTACTGATGTGGAAAAGTAATGTTAAATGTTTAATTATCCACCATTTAAAGGTCAAGAATTGCTCCATGAAATGCTGGAGTTTCTTCACTTTAAGATGAAGATGTGAGCACATATCTAGCACATATTCAAAACATACTACACACACATACCTGAGCACTGGTTTCTTTATCAGCTGACATAGCCCAGCACTGAGGTTTTTTCCCATTCTTATCATGCACTCTCAGATCACCTCCTTCATCCAATAACCTGCTAAGAATCCACTGATTTCCTGAGAACGCAGCTGCATGGACTGGGGTGCTTCCATCGTAACAGCGACTGGGGAACATTAAAACAGAAATATTTCAAGCTACTCCTACTACATTCAGCCAGTTGTGCTGCTGGGGAAAACGGCTGCATGCTTGGAATGTTTCTGTACTCCCAAACAGTAAGATACACAATGAAACTAGGAAAATTATACACCTACATACTTATGAAGACCTTTGGCTAAAATAGCAACATGCATCTTAAGCAATTCTTCATTTATATACAGTAAATATTGTCTATTACATTACTAAAACCACTAAAAGATTAAAGATTAATTTCAAATTAAGGAAAAAAACCCATATACTTAACTGATTAGCATCAGAGCCGTAATCCAGCAGTATATCCACTATTTTACCAAGACCTAGCAATGCAGCAGTGAAGAGAGAAGTTTGGCCCATTGAATTTACAGCATCAACAAAAACACCTAAAAGGAAACAAAAGATCAGGAGGTAAGTGCTTGTTCCCCCCCCCCAACCCAAATAACAGGAAATGTTTCATTAACACTGACACTAATGGCCATATTCCAGCTCAGATACTAGAAATGTGAAAACATTGATGGTACATTCAAGGCCAGGCTGGATGTGGTTCTGAGCAACCCGATATAATTGAAGATATCCCTGCTCACTGCAGGGTGTTTGGACTAGATGGTTCCCTGTAGCCTTCTATACATACCATGCACTGCTCCTCCAATGTTTTCAAATACAGAATGTATAAATACCAGAGACAGTGTAGTAACAGGGATGAGCAAAGACAACACTGGAGGACAATAAAATGATAAATCCTTCTAAGGCAGGAATTGAGAGTTAGATGAATATTTCAGTACTTTGACCGACTTTGTTCAAATTATCAAGCTCCACTCTGCATTAAAATAGAATATAAAGTAGCCTAGAGGGATACGGATCTGAAACCACAACTCCGTGGTGAGCTCACCCCAAACCATGTACAAGAACGCACCACCATCTGTTTTTGGAACCAGGATAAAAAAGAAGTCACAAACCACTCAGCCCGTGCTCTCTCCCTC